ACCTGTTGTATTCATTTTTGCTGATAGGCACCTTTGAAATCGACAATAAGGACACCAGTTTCTTCGTGCTTTATCTATAACGCAATTTTCTTTTCCTGCTAAAAATGAAGAAATATTTGAATTTTGAGTTTTGCTCTAAAAAATCGAATACTAAATTGAAGAACCTATCCAAAATCAATTTTCTGCCTAAACGTAAAATCCGTGACAATTTTGCAATCCACATATTTTTTGGTGGCATTGGACGTTTTTCTCTAGTTTTTAGTATAATTATATATACATAATATTTATGAAGATAGTGCTGAAAATAATTGATTTTTTCCAAACAATTTCTATTCGATGCCGACTAAGGTTGTCCAAATTGGATAGATTTGTACTATTATAAATTATTTGTAAGTGAACTTACCTATGCACGTGTAAATAGCTGATCTTCGGACGCTTCTTTTGAAAAAGCAAGAACATCCATCGCAGCAAATAGCTCCATAATGTCTTCCAGAGGCCCTATCACCACAAACGCTGCATAGAAGATCTGTTGATGATGGGCCAAGTTTAATATAAAAAAAAAAAACACTTGAATATCCTATATACAAAGTACACGTATTGTGCACATGGTTGCTTTTATATCGCATTAATTGTTTATTTATATTTCTATTAAAATTAGTTGTATCATAATTTTTACCCATATCTTGGAAAATATTGAAACTGCAAAGATTAACAAAACTGGTGTTAGCGGAGCAAAGCAATTGTGAATACTATTTGATGTTAGCGATCAAATGCGATCAAAAAATCAGCTTCGCATATAATTCACCTACAACTAACTATTATAATGACCTGTAAAAGTAAATATTATCGGGGTGCGATATGGTAGCCACATGTCAATCATCATCTTAACATAAATATATCAGACTTTGAATTATCATTGATGGTAATAAAAGACCGATGATTCTAATAAAAACTAACTTGAAAGAAAGTAATAATTTTTAAAGTAATAATTTAGAAATATTTTATAATATCTTTGGTAATTATTAAGGTAGTTAACTTGGAAGATGTAAATCGAACAATACTCAACAAAAACCCTATTAATATTAACGTTGCTCTATCTATTATAATATTAACGTTGCTCTATCTATCTGCATTTTTTAACTTCCCGTAAAGTAAGTTATAGTAATGGGCCGATAATCGAAAATTTTTACATTTCTTTACGTTTTGAAGGTTTCTGAACATTTTAGCATACCTCAGAAAAAATGAATGTGTCTGTGTGTTTTGTATGTCCGAATTTTTTTACCCACGTTTTCTGACGCACGGATCAACCGATTTGAATGGTTTTAAAAACATTCGATTCCTATTGATAGGGAGATGTGCCGATTAGTTTTTGGCAAAGGCCAAATCCAGCCGTTACGGATATATAGAGGATGGAATGATTTGGATTGGAATGATCCAAAAAACATTCTGTTTGTAATGATGGGGAGAAGTGGTGCTTAGTTTTTGGCAAAGGCAGGTCCAGCCGTTTTGCAGGTACCAAGCAAAATGTGCCAAAAATGGCAGTTTTCGAGAGAACTAAGCATCCGATTTGAATGATTATTTATTAACTTCCAAATATTTTTTTTTTTGAATATTGAAAATTATTCCGATTTTAATTTTAATTCTGGCTAGAGTTCTAAAGCTCACTAATTACTTCAAATAAATAATTTGAACTTTGCTATTGAGTTTAAATAATTCTTATAAATATTACACAATGTCCTTCATTTTAAATTTGATTGATCGAGTTTTGTTTATTTACTTTTCTCTAAACATATATAAGTTACAGTATTTATAATAATCGATTTGAACACATTTAATATTTCTTGAATATTTTAATACGGTATAGAAAGTTCCAGCAATTTGCCTTAAGGCACGATGCCATACACCACTAGTTTATATTCAATTTTAGAAAATATTTAAAATATAATATATCATTCGATATTGATTTGTATTTCAAACTCAACTAGTTCATTGAAATTATTTAATCTTAAATATAGTTGTTATAAATTTCCTAGATCCAAATGTCTTGAATTCGAAAATATTGTCAAAAAATACTAATAATGCACATTACATTAGGTAATGTGCATACACCACATGTGTAATTTACCTATGTGGTGTATGTAACCGTAGTTTTTTCATTTGGATAGCCCTGCTCTAAAGCGTGTTGAGGTGTTAATTTATTATGCGAAGAAAGCGCGTAATCAGTGCTCAAGTCTGGGAAAATGTTCAACTTCAACCCTCTTCAACCATTCTAATATGGTTATTTTTATGGACATGACACGATGGCACGCGCCTGACAAGCCGTAATGATTTGTTTGGCAAGTCATTCATGGCATAAAGGGTCGCATAATAAAAAAAACAAGATCAACATTTCACAATTTCAGGGCCAGTGGAGGTATAATGGATAAAAAGTTAAGAACGTTGGCTAATATGTGTGATAAGTTCCATACTAACCTCGACCAGCTCGATATCCAGCAGTATGATATCAAATTCTTCTTAAAATAGAATAAAATGCCGAGTAGAAATCCTTAATTTGAAGAAGCTCAGAATGAAGACAAAGTCAAGCCTTACAATATCAGTAAGCCATATTATTATCAATAAGGTGATCATATTTTTTGAGTCAAAACCGGGACGGTAATTTTAAATTATGCTAATCCGAGATGAGGGAAGGGGATGAATGCTAGAAAAATTAATATGATTGTAAAATAGCAAATACTATTTAAGAATTTAATAAAAATGCGCCTTCTTTAAATGAGTTATATTTAATCAGAATTACTAATTTTTTTCATAATTATTTAAAAATAATTAGCACTTATTTGCATTATTCCAGGCAGTCAAGACGTTCATTTTCATAAATTTTGTTAATTTTCGTAAAATTGTAAATAAAAGTTCAAAATTATGAATGTGAGAGGCTATTTTAATCCGCCTTTTTCATATAAGCATACTAGTTGTACATAACATTTTCAGATATTCGATGCGTAGTTGTAATTTTATTATCAAGTAAGAGCGAAGAATCAATTTAGACTTATAGTTTTTGGAAACCCGGGACAATCCGGATTATGAAATACAAGACACTTAGTTATTAAACCAATAAGTACTACGGTCTACATCTATGGAGTGCGGCTAGTAAATTAAACATGACAATTCTACAGAGGTTCCAGAACAAAATATTTAAACAGTTTGTAAACTATGTACCAAACTGGCTAATACACAGATACCTGAATATTCTGACAGTCGAAGAAGAATTTAACCACTTCTGCTCCAGATACTAAGTCCAAACTTTTATCGCAAGCCTTTGCCACCTAAAAAAGAAGCTTTAGTGAATTATTTCATACTCCATCATATTAAATTATCTACAATTGTAGCTGATTGTACTTATTGTATAGTTTGCTAAGAAAAATGAAATAAAAAAAGTTCGTACCTGGTTTCGGCGATTGTTATAGAAAGCACGAGCGATCATAAATATATGTTTATTCTTGGACACCGCAAGTACTTCGGTAATCGCACCCTAAATACACAACCTGACAGAAAACTACGCCTCATTTAATACAGGACTCTCTAAATGGTAATTATTAATTATAGATAAATTATCGGACTTGTCATGATTGAATAATATTCGAATATGAATTTATCCATTATTGTAATAAATTTAAATAAAAAAATATTTGAGCGTTTCAACTTCTAGAAGATTTTGTTTAATAATCAACCATATATAAGATCACTTCTCAAAAATTGTTGAAAATTTATTTGAACTCCTTAATTTCTAAAATTTTGTGTTATTAATCATAATAGCTATAGATTTCCGTTAGAGATTTGAAGAATAATAAATATCATATATAATTTTCTCCATTATTTTTTCAATAATCTATAACATTTTCTGCATATTATTCGATATTTATTATGAAAATCAATTTGAATCCCGTATTTTTAATAGAATTTGGTTCAATAATTGTCTTTAACTCTAGATCAAGGCAACTATGGGTCGTGCCGCCATTTTGGGTCACATAGGAAAAATATGGAGTCACGAGAAACTTTAATGTCACATATATATATATATATATATATATATATATATATATATATATGTGTGTATAGATATGTATATATGTATAAATGTATATTGTTACCTAATAAACAAATCATCTAAAAATATTAATTTCCCTATTTTTTATATTTGTGTGGGGTAGCAACTTAATAAATGGGGTCGCGAATTACAAAAGTTTAAAAAGCCCTGCTCTAGATCTGTTTTGGAGTTTTCAAAAATATGCTAAATATCATATATAATCACTTCTAAAAAATACTTTAATAATCCTTAGTATATTCCGCATTATATTTGATATTCGTTTTTTGAACACCTTGATTTTCAAAGATTGTGTTAATAATAATTTTATAGCCTTAGATATATTTAATGAATGACCCCAGTAACGAGTCTTTTTTATGTATAGACAAAATATATTAAATTAGTATATTTGGTGTGAATATATTGCAGAAATTCCCCTGAAAGTTCCCTGAAATTTTCATTGATATTTGAAATCTATAATCGCAAAATTGTTATCGTACTGCTTGACATAGAACTGGCCGAGTTTAGGATAATCTCTGGGGACTTGTGTGCGCTAAGCACGTTCTTTGCCATCATACTACGACAGGCTCATGAATTGAATTTCTTATGATCTAGGTGAAATAGAATATAATTGACTTCAAATATAAATTACCTACTACAGTAAGAAGAAATACAAAAATTCAACAAAAATTGCTCTCAACGTTTGGTTATTAATAACACTGAATGTATTTTTAAAAAATGAGCAGACATTAATAATATTTCAAAATTTGTTTTAACTATCAAAATCAATTACTCGGGAAGCCTTATATATAATCCCTGTAAGTGCCATGTACAAATTGAATTAACCAACAATCCTATATCGAATGTCTTTACGACGCCATTTCAAACTAATGCTCTCAGTTTTGTTTCCACAAATTTTATAATGGATGGTAGTTAAAGTTAAATAATACTTATCATCGGTTTTTAATATTAACAAAAAATTTCAAATAATATTTTAGATACGTTATCCGGTGACGTGGTAAAAACAGGCAGTTACCGATTTTCTGATGGATCTCGGTATTTTGGGGAGTGGAATAAAAGAGGCCAAAAACATGGAGTTGGACATTTGTTATTTAAAAATAGAACAAGATATGATGGCCAATTTGCGAACGGGATATTTAGTGGATTAGGAGTACTTTGTTTTCCGGATGGATCAAAGTTTGTATAATTTATAAAAAAATTAAGTTGTAAATTAATTATTATTAACTTGTGAGGTTGGAGTATATTATGAGTGTGATTCCATCATAACTATTAAAAAACATACCTTTACTCCCGTAATCTCAATCAACTATCTCTAAATAAATTTCTTTCTCCGCAGGTACGAAGGAGAATTTATGCAAGGCTGGTTCCATGGTCGTGGCGTCTTCTGGAGATCTGATGGTATGAGATATGAAGGCGAATTCCGTGGGGGGCGCATCTGGGGCCTCGGTCTTGTTACTTTTGCAGATGGTACACACGGTTTCCCAAGATGCGAAGGATACTTCCAAGATTGTAGGTTGATGAGACGTAGAAAATGTCTTACAATAATATTGCATGCCCAAGCTATTGGCATGTTGGCTAGGGAATTCACAAAACATAATAATTGATCTAAAAAAATAAACATATGGTTTATTATAATAATAGTATTTTTGACTATGGAGTAAAGTAGCAGAACATTTTTATGAAGTAATGAAGTGTATATCATTAACTATAAATAAATGTACATTTAAATTACCTCTGAATTTTAGAATTTTTCTCATCATTCATTAATGTGCTTTTATGATGTAAAAAAAATCTTGATGCTTAAATATTTTATTCATGAGAATTTTTGATCCAAGTGAAGATAAAATGGCAAACTAATTCATATTTGAACAATAAATGTAAATAAATAATAAAACTTAAGCAAACAGCGTTGCTAATGAATAAATATTTATTAATAACTTTACAAAATGGATCAATAATAAAATTTATAATTGCACATAACGGAATACATTTTGTTATATCCATAACATAATACAATTTATATATTACTCTGAATAGATATTGCTAGCAATGATTTGTTTGACTTATTCACATTCTTATCTAAAGAATTTATTTGCATTTTATTACACTAATATCACTTTAATTGGATTTAACATAACATTAAAATTATAGATTAGGTCGAAATACTGTTACATTTTCAGAAAACTCTCAATAAAAATTAAAAATAAATGTTTTATAGACACTTATTTTACAAACTTCCAGTATTTTCTATAAATTATTGTATAGAAAAAGCAATTAAAAATTGCTCTAATTACCATTTCAATCTTAAACGTTTTAAAAATGTCTTTATAAACCGAGAGGAATGTACTAGATCTAATAATGAAAACTGAAATAAAAAACGACTAGTTTATCTTATGGCAAAAATTGAGATAAGTTTTAAGATGTTCGTAAATTTATATACACTAATACCTGTAAATAAATGAATAATAAACATGTACAAGATCTGAATTCAAATGAAATAACTATTAAAATAAATTGTGGACAAAAAGAATCACGTAATATTATCTTAACAAAGCTTCATTACCGAATCTTTAATAAAATCACTCAAACACCCATTTATATTATCGTCATTCTCTCTAGAACTAACTATTTAACACTATAATTTAATATATGAGTTGATTAAATTTGTTTTCAACATTAAAATTAATATATTATCAGAAAATAAGTACTAGCAAAGTTTTTCATATCTGTTTATGGCATTTTCAAATCGAAAGCATTTTCATCACTAAAAGATAGCTATAACAAATTTTATACATCACCTATTTTTTACAAAAAAATACTTATTATAATAAAGAAATGTTCTAGTTTTACATTGAATGCTTCATATGGTGATAGATTGAATATATCCAATATCTATGCTATTCACCACGATTTCCAAGAACTTCTTGTAAATACTGCAAAATAAATTTAAATTAAGAGTAAAAATTTTCTAAGATTATGAGTTATATGTTTATATAAATACAAGAACTAATAAGTGTGCTAAACTTACTACTTTAGGCCCTCCACCATATAGTTATCACCAAATGAAAAAAGTATTTTAGTAAATTAAATTAAATTAAATTTGCTTAAGCGGATACCACAATTTTTTTCGATTAAAAACTTATATTTGTATTTTGATTTAAATCGATTTGATATGCCACATGTCACATTTATCTCATTGATCATTATGTTTTGCATCAGCAAAATAAAGTAAAATACTTTTCATATCATAACTAGTAAAAAGTACATTGTAAATTGTCTATTGATAATAAATATTTCATTAGCTAATAAAAATTTAGAATAATAATGCCAATTTTTGTATTATTATGAAAGCAGACCTATCACCAATTCAGCAAGTCGTATTAGATATAATTCATCATCCAATTTTCTTCGTATTCTAAGACTTGTCCGCATTCTTAGCCCAGGGTATTAAACCTGAATAATAAATTGTTTAAAAATCGTCACTAATCACACATTAAATAATTAACACTTCAAATTTTTAAACACAAAAATTTGTCAATCTTAATTAAATATTGTGCACGAAATAGAACACTTGTGATTGAAAACTATGAAAATCGAAGACGAGATAAGCAAATAAATCTTTTTTACATAGCTTCTTACTGGACAGGTATTTAAACCAAGACGTTTTCAAATTTAAAAAAAATATTTTGATATTTATAATTTAATTATAATTCAGTAGAAATTATTTTTAAAGCTATGAAAAAATAATTCATTTTACTTATGATTTGCGTATTAGTATTATTATATATTTGCCTAATAATATTTTATAAAATAAATTGAATTCATAAATATGTGAGTTATAAATTTTCACAAAGAGATAAATACGATGTTAATCATATCTCGCAACCATTCACTTCAATTAATTAATTCAAATGTTAAAAACGTTTACTTAAACTATATCACACAATCAGATTAAATACTTTCACAACATTAATAATAATTCTATGTACAAATATAAAACAGACAACGTCATAGTATAATAATTAAATTATCATTAAAACTAAGCTACCTATCATTATCACATTCTTTGATTATTTCCTCCCAAACTTTGCAAAATTAAACGCGATTTTAGCACCAATTATTTAAATGAAATTTATTTTTTATGCAATTTTTTGAATAATAAATCCAAAATTCTTAGATCATTTTATTTTGCTGTTCTCTCAAAAACAAGTGTTTGAGGTGTAATTGTTCAGGGTCTCGATGCAAATTCTTATTTTAAACGTATCAACTTCGGAAATAATAATTTTGAAAAGTGTATGAATTTTATTTCATAGTTGGATAAGAATAAATATTCAACAGGAGCATACTTAAGGCAAGATAATTGCAAAAATTATTTTACTTTACTGTCAGTTGTGTAATAAATTGTATGTATAACTAATAATTAGCAATTTTCTTCAGTTTGATGAATATACTATAAAAAGTTTTGAAATGAATGGACAAGTATTGAAAAGAGTTGTATTTATATCCAAAACAAAAATAGCACTATTAAAAAATCCTAATCAACTCTCATCAGTAATTAATTACTAATTAAGGGGGTATTCTAGTGTAGAGCGATGAATTTTAGGTAATTTTTAAAGTGTCGTAAAAGAAAGCAATGAATGTTTTTACTATCCATTTTTTTACCACTTGTTTATTAACATTATTAAAATACAATACAAAAATTGATAAAAAAAGTTGAAAATTGAAGAAACTGGCAGCTGATGAAGTGTGGGGTCTCAAAAAATTAGCACCTAAGGCTTGACATGATTTCAGCCCTCCTAGCCATCCGAAATGAAAGAAATAAAAATAATATTAATCTACAATGATGCCGCAATCGCCCGAGCTAGCGATGAGTAACAAAATTTGTTTTTACAAATTGGCGACTGTTTGAAAAAAAATGTTTTTTTTTAAAAAGTAAAAATTGGAATTTGGGGATGATCCTAGTTCGGGCTATAGATAGGTCTATAAACAAGACTCTCTGAACATTTCAACTGAATCGCTCGAGTACAACTCGAGAAATCGTGTCAACAGTACTGAAAAGTCTGTTCTGAGAAAAAACTCATCAAACCAGTATGAAGACCGAGTCAGCAAAATGCCTATATCTCCGAAAATAATTAAAATTTTCAAAAATCTTTTCATACCCATATTTTTAGATAGTTAAACTTTGAAAATATGAAATAAAAAAAACGATTTTTGTGAATTTTTACACTAGATTACCGCCTTATAACGCTAAATCGGATCCTGAAACAACCTGAAATTATGTAGTATAATAAAAACATTTCTGCAATAAGTCCATAATGTTATTCGTGTGTGTTAGTAAAAATATTTCGGTTATTCGAAACATAAAAAATATGCATGGCAGAATATGAATAATTACTCAATAAGATATATTATTCAATAAAAATTTTCCTGAAAAAATACAGTTAAAAAAATCTTATATAATGTGATATTTGCAAAGTATAGTCGAACCACTGGTAATTGCTTCCAGACTATCCTAATTTCGTACTTTTAAATAAATTTTAAATAATATTACAATATTCTAGGATTTTAGATTGTAATATCAGTTTAATCTACATATGATTGTAGCTCGAGATGAAGAAAAATGATACGTTCAAAACATCATGCATATTTTTTAATCACCCATTTCCAAAAAAATTTCAAATTTCAATTATCTTTTTATCTTTCCTATTCCTATAACGTACTCTGTTTTTCAACGAGTGTCGTTTATTATTCGAGGGTAGTATTTTTAGTTGTCACAACAGAGTACAAATTTTACTTCTTTGCTTGCCTTTATGTTTTTTTGTGACGTTCGTCTCACTTCCAGCATTTGATGAGGCTTTGATTGTTTGTTGAGAAGCGGATTTTTGATTATCAGCTGCAGTATTGGTTTCAGCATTTTTGCCGCTGCCTGCTGTACTCAAGTTGGATGAACTGTATAATGATTTTGATAGGCGAGATCTTACAGTTTTAGGCAAAACTTTGGTTTTCCGCAGACTGTCGAATCTTCGACGGGTCAGTTCCATAGTTGATGGAAACTTTTCCGTCGAGTCGGAATTGTGCGTGCAGTTCAGCGTGGTTACGGTGAATTCTATATCCTTGACGTCTGATGATCCTTGAAATTAATATTACACCTTAACTAAGTAATAATTTGAAGCTACGAGATACTAACAAATAATTTAAAACTACCAGCTGGCAGGAGTTAGATTAAAACAAAAGTAAGGTTTAAGGTAAATAAAATTAAGCCTAGTTTCAAATTTGAAATAGAAGTTATATGAAAATTTAAAAAAAAATAAACTTTGCAGATGAAATTTAGGATTAAGATTGAATATAGTTTAAACCTTATAATTAAAACATATATACATTAGGGTGGTCCTTAATATGGACATTTTCGAATTTCCTTGCTCCCAAGGGCTCAAATGGTTTCAAATTGATAAAAAACTATTTTTTTGAAAGTATTAGCTCTTAATATTAACTTTTAAATAGTGCCCAATTCAATAAAACTTCGTATGGAAATAGCATGGAAAAAAAATTTAAAATTAAAACAAAAATTTTTTAGGTATAAGTTAGCGACGAATTTTGAATAAAA